CTAAAAAGTAAAAGAAATGAATTGAAATTGGAAGGAGGCAAAAAATAATTGATTAGCAAGTGTTTATTGTGCTTGTGCTTGTGTGAATGTGTTTTGTACATATATTTCCATTCTTTGGACTAAAAATTTGGTTTTTTGCGTTCCTTTACTTTTCCTGTTATTCTCTTTTAGTGAGCGCATTTTGCCTACGCTCTGGTATTTTGACACTTTTCAGATTTTAGTCCAAAAAGATAAGGAATGAACCTATAGTTGCCAACTTAGTACTTTAAGAGCGTGTGCGAATCGGTAACAAAGTTCGCGGCAAGTAAATTTTTGACAAGTTTGAGGTGAAAAAAATTTCAGTAGCCCATAGGGCTAGTGAAATTTTTGACAAATGCATAGAAAATTTTGACAATTGCAAAGATTGCTGCTGTGTGTAATTTTTCGTAANTAGCCCATAGGGCTAGTGAAATTTTTGACAAATGCATAGAAAATTTTGACAATTGCAAAGATTGCTGCTGTGTGTAATTTTTCGTAAAATAAAAGGTTAAGTTGATGAACTGCAATCAATGATGGTAGATGTTTTCTTAAAATATTCATTTCACACAATTTGTAATAGTTTATTGCGCATAAATCTGCGGTTATGAAAAATTTACTGCTGTCAAAAAAGATTTCATTTCACACAGCAGATTGGCAAAACTGTCTCACCATAGTAAAAATATTATTCAACAGCTTTCCCCATAGAACTTTGCTACCGATTCACACATGCCCTAAGCACTAGATTTAGTGCTTTTGGACAATTAAAACGCCAAAAAAAAATTACTTAGTGCCTAGTGCCTTTTTTAGTGCTTTTTTTGAACTAATATTACTCCGAGATAGTTAAAACCGGTTCGGTGACTCATGAAGATGCTGAATTTACAAGAATATACAAATTTAAATGCACTAAAATACAACCATGATTGATAAAAAGCTGAAGTTGCAAACCCAACCTGTTGAATTATAATCGCGTTGAAAATGCTAGTACGCAGGTAAGTTAAGTATTACTTTTTTCAATTTATTTGTACACCATACCAAATTTTTCCACCCCGTCTCACCACGGAGAAAAAATTTACCGATTGGCACAGGCCCTTGTTTGTACAAATTTTGATTTTTTTACCACCTGAGTAAAACACATCGTNCAATTTATTTGTACACCATACCAAATTTTTCCACCCCGTCTCACCACGGAGAAAAAATTTACCGATTGGCACAGGCCCTTGTTTGTACAAATTTTGATTTTTTTACCACCTGAGTAAAACACATCGTTTCTTGGTGCTGAATCCAAATCTGGCCGCACATTGCTCTATTATTAGATATCCTACCCCCAGATTGCCAAAAACAAGGGGTTTTGCGATATTTGAGGTTATATAATGAAAACATAAAATTTTTTCTCATTTCTACTTAGGGCATTACTTTCATGTGTTGCGATTCGATTTTTCTTTCTCGAGATATACAAGTTTAAATAGTACTTCGGTATGACGTCGTAAGCATGAGTCATCATAGCATGAGTAGAGACTATTCAATATTTATAAGCGAAAACGTTTTGTGTGTTGATTTATGTATATATTTTTGTAAATATTGTTAATTTTTTGCTTTTGTTAAATACAAACTGTTATGAAAAAAGCATCCTTTGATTAAAAAACATTTGGTGCTTTTAGTTTGGTAAAACGCCTTTTTTCCAAGTTTTTGGTGCTTTTTGAAAATCAAAAGTTGGCAACACTGGCAGGGAGTTTGCCAGTATGCATGCATGCACCAAAAATACAAGATCACGTAAGAACGAGACGTTGTATTTGTAACTGGTTTTGAGAAAAAAGTTTGCGAAAGCGGGTTCGTCAGCTGAGCGTTTGTTTACATCACAAGCACCACTATTTTACACTTTTATTCAAGTAAAGAAGAGTTATTTCAACATGACAACATATTTTAAAGAGTTTTGTTGCATTATTTTACCTAAATTGTGCGTTAAAAGTGGCTGACAATAATTTTGGCTAATTTTGGTATTCCTTGTTTTCTTTGCTTTGTTTACTTTTCGTTCTTTTTCCAGTAAAACAAGATGGCGTAGAACCCGCTAAAAAATCGACTTTTTTCACTCTCTTGTTCTTACGTGATCAAGGTGGCCAACACCACCTTGTTAAATACGCCTTGTACGTGATCTTGTGTCTTTCGTTCATGGTACGCATGGGAGATTGATTCACTTTCGGTATTGCATATGGCACCAGCGTTACCAGAAGACCAAAAGTTTTCCCGTTTCGCGGGAATTCTGAATAGAAAATGGATGGCGGGATTATTGGTCATGAAAACGGGGATAATCACATACGCCGTGCCCATAAATATTATAATAATTTAGCGGCTCCGCTGGCTTGGCCATGTCGTTCGAATGGACAGAAACGCTCCTGCTCTGAAAATATTCATCGCGGGCCGAGATGCTGGTAACAAAGGAAGAGGAAGGCCTCCTCTGCGTTGGAAAGACCAGGTGGAGAAGGACTTGGCTTCACTTGGCATTTTCAATTGGCGTCAGTTAGCACAGAAGAGAAATGACTGGCGTGCTGTTTTGGACTCGGCCAAAATCGCTTAGGCGGTTACAACGCCAATAAAGAAGAAGAAGATTAGACTAAAATAGTGTGCGATATATTCATGGGAAAGCTGTATGGAATTTAAAGTTTAGTTACGCGAAGAATCTCCTTCTTCTTCTTCTTAAGAAACCTTAATTGCAAAACGCAAAAGGATTGTGCAAAAATATAATTTATGGCCGTTCGTTAAAGAGGCGGTGGGCGAAAGGTAAGTGGGCGTGGCACCTCTAACCCACCTTTTTGGAGAGGGAATGAAGCGCCATTGACAAAAATGCAACCCCCGAACACCTAAGTCCCCTATGGACCCCTTAGAAAAGTTGCCAAAAATCACAATTTTCATTTGCGTTTATTCGCTTGAAAATGTTAAATATTCATTTGCACAATACATTTTTATATACACATTTTTATATACAAGACATTTTTATAAAACACCCAGTAACCAAAATAAACCTCATTGGGGCGGCAGCCCCAGGTTTACCACACAGAAAGGGAATTCTAGTTACCTCATCCTTTCCCAAGGTTACATCACTGGGGCGGTAGCCCCAGTTTGGTCACATCAAAAGGAGAATTCTACGTAGTAAGGGTTATAATCCCTAAGCGCGGATGAAGGCTGCCTACGTAGAAAGGAAGTAAAAATTGCGATTTTTGGCATTTTTCTAAGGGGTTCGTAAGGAACCATAGGGGGCCTAGGTGGTCGGAGGTTGCATTTTTGTCAATGGCGGTTCATGCCCTCTCCAAAAAGGTCGGTTGGAGGTGCCACGCCCACTCCCCCTTCGCCCACCACACCTTTAACGAACGGCCGTAATGGAAAGTTTCCCCATGATAGCTAATCGCCAGCTCAGAACTTCACAGTTTGCTAATGGTTCGGTAGCACATCAAGCTAGAAATGCAGAAATAGAAATATGTGCGTTTGCGGCGGAGCACGATATTGCATTTTCTGCATTGGATCACTTATCTGTGCTGTTGAAAACAGTGTCAAGTGATTAAAAAATTGCATCACAAGTGCACACGAATAATAGTAATAACAGATTGGCGCTTAAACATGTATTAGTGTTTGGCCGAGCTTCTCCTCCTATTTGTGACGTGCGCCTTGATGTTGTCACACAAAGTGGAGGGACCTACAGCTTTACGCCGACTCCTAACGTCGATTGTATTTTTATGAGAAGCTATTTTTCATGGCAGAAATACACGCGGAGGTTTGCCATTGCCTTCCGAGGACGACGAGTGCACACGAATGATATGTACAAATAACGCATAGGTATTTGCAATATATCGTCGGTGATACTGCAAAGCGTTCTAAATCACTTATTACCTCTGGTGCTCTAATGATATGTTATCTGTATCTGATCGCTTCTGGAAATCGTTCATCTTTTTTTGTCATTCGTTTATTAGGGTGTAACGACTTGCATATGCATTCCGGTGCAAGTAGGAGATCATCTAATTGTCAAGGGTACTAATAGACATAAACCGTTTTGCAGTATCACTGACGATATGTTTTAAATTAATATTTTTATATTAACAATATTACATGTAAATTGATTTGTGATTGTTATTTAGGGGATTCCCTTAAACGCGAAGAGCAGAAAACTCGAAAACCTCGAAAGTTGTCGAGGCTGTTTTTGGGATTGCACCTTTTTTCAGCCTCGTAAACAATGGAGAAATTCCGACGTTTGACAGCTCATTCAGAGTTTTTTGTATAATACATCGCATCAGCTGAAATAAATACATATAAAATCAGCATTGAAAATGCCACGAAAAAGTGAAAAATGTAAATTGTATGAAGTTCGTAGAATATTCGGATATAAAGGCAACACTGAAACTTACGAACGACTTTTCGAGGCTTTTTTCGCGACTAATTTGCCTCGAAAGTTTTCGAGGCACGCGAAAATCGCCACTCATACAATTTTTGACAGTTGTTTTTCGAGGCTGGAAAAGTTTCGAGGTTTCGTGGTTTTCGAGCCACTTTCGAGCTTAAGGGAATCCCCTAATTGACTGTTGTTAAAATACGTTTATTGATCGTACAAAAATAAAACACGGAGAAAAATTGGTTTGCCGTTTTTAAGAACTGCGTTATATAAAAAAGGGAAAACGGGAAAACCTAAAATGAAACACGAGGAAATCTATATAGAATTGCATGTTCAAGAAGGGAATAGGAATGGAACCGGGCAACACTATGGCACCACCAATTTTACAGCAGTTTGCGCTCTCCCTTTCTGTCTCTCTCTCAGAGTTTTCTGCAACAACAATTGCAAGCAGTTTGCCAGTAGGCATACCGAACGTAAAACTGGAGAAATATCGACGTTTTTGCCATCGATGTTTTGAAATCAAAATATCGATGTACTAACGATGTTCCCGTGTATAAATGAATTTGTAACTTTGGAAATCGAACTGTAAAAAATACAGAAATTTTCTAAAATTTTATTATAGAGTGGCTGGCATTACAGATGACGAAACGCATAGAGTAAACAGCTGCATTTTTAGAAAACTTCTTAAAAAAGCGTTTATTAAAAATTGTAATGTGTCCAAAGAACGTAGATAACAAGAATGGACAACACGCCCAAATACGTTTTTTGATTGAATGAAAAGAGAAGGTACACCCCTGTATAATTAGGTTTGTATAGTAACCAATAGTCAGTACTAATTTGTACTGGAACCTGCAAATTTTTACTGGAAAAGCGTATGATAACCCAAAAAATTTGCAAGAGAGCACTGAATCGAGAGCGTAACAACACGGGAGAGCTGCAAATTCTTGCTAGTGAAATTTTTACTAGCAGAAATTAGCTAGCTGAAGAAGAAGAAGAATAAATGTCAAAAGCCGCCATTTGTTGAATTGGTTTAGCACAAACAAAAGTAAAAGGAGTTTAAATCAAAATATTGTGACTGTGTAAGTGCTTGTGTGTAAAGCAGAGTTTAAGACTGATTTATAAATAGTAAAATGTTTACAGCAGAATGTCAAAACAGTGCAACGACTGTTCACTTGCAAGTTTTTGCTAGTTTTGTGTTCATTAACTTTTTCTGCTAGTTTTCTCTTCTTCTCAATTTTACGCTCTATTTTGCTTTTACGCTCTCGCTGCAATGTTTTACTGGAGAAGTTACTATACAAACCTATTGTCATAAAATTGTATCCATTTGCTTCTACATGATGATAGGTACATGGGACAAAAATGTCCGATAGGGGCGAAAAAACATCGATAATAGAGAAAATTGGAAACATCGATACTATCGATTATGACAGTGGCTTTTTTCCAGCTCTAGTGCGTCGCCCCAAAGGGCAGTAAAAAAAGAAAAGTTGGATAAAAACTCGCTAAAAATCTGTGCACAGTGCAAAATGCCGTGTCAGCATAGCTATCGATTGGCTAGGTAGAATAGCTCCTAGGAGAGAAGGCAACGAAATTCTGCGAAAACTGCGTAAAAGTAAAAAGGCTGCGTTAGCATTGAAGAAGAACGATTTAAAAGCGGTTGGACCTGGAGCTGGTGACAGTGGTGGTGTAAAGAGTGGAAATAGTAGCGACGACCGGTATGCTGTTGATTCGAGAGCTGACGGTGACGGCGCCTGTGACGGGGTTGGTTTCGATATCTTCCGTTGTAGTGGTGATAGTAGGTCTGGTGTCGGTGGCGTTGACGTAAGGTGTACCGAATACGATTATTGCAAACAGGCAGAAAGAGTTAATCACGGTGACGGTAAAAGTGCACCAGAAGGTGCTGCAGAAACAACAACAACGAGGAAGACTGGAGCAGCAGCCGTTGCGAGTAAATCGGCAACAGCGGGTGGAACGGTAACAACAGCTAAAAGCGTAGCCGGTAGTGTAAGTGGTCGCATCGGTGGTAGTGGCAACAGTAGTAATTGTAATAGTAGCAGAGCCAGCGCCGGCGCAGGCGCAGGTCCAGAAGAAAAGCAGCTGACCGCAACGCCACCACTACGCAGGACTCGCAGCCAACAACAGCTGCAAAAAGGGCACGGGAAAGGGCACCAAAAGGTGACTGGTACAGCTGTTGGAGCAGCAGGCAGTAGCGGTGTCCTACGCACGCAAGCTGCTTCAACAGCAGCGAGCGCTGTTGGCCAGGGCTGTGAGTTGACGAAAACTATGGCGGAGACGGGCTGCAAGCATTTCCAAGCGTACGTAAAGGAGCAAAGCTTGGATACATTTCGCGTAATTGATGCATACTTTTCGGCGTGTGTGAATAAGGATGCGCGAGAGAAAAAGGTGTGAAAAACATACAAAAGATCTATGCGATAGGAATTTTTTGTCGTTCTTTTACTGGGTACATAGTACAGTAAATCAATTGCATAAACCGTAAAGAATTGTGTACTACACTTTAATATTCCTTTAAAAGAATTGTTTGTTCTTTGTGGGTGTATTTTTGCAGGCGCTTTCTTGCTGTTGCTTTGAGTGCGGCAGCTATGGACTCCAAGTGTATGCCTGCCTGCATTGCATCTACTTCGGCTGCCGTGGCGCTCACATCGCTACACATCTACGTGCGAAAAAGCATGCAATCGCATTGGAGCTATCACATGGCACTTTGTATTGCAACTCTTGTCGGGATTTCATCTACGATTCCCGTTGCCGCGAGATAGCAACTGTCAATCGGCGCTTGGAAGCAAAAGATATAAGCAAGAGTCTCAGTTGGCAGCCGTGGATTCCGACGCCTAAGGAAACAAATTTGCTGCTGGCCAACCCGCGACGTCGGCATGTACGCGCTAACGAGACTATTGGATTACGCGGCTTAATTAATCTTGGCTCTACGTGTTTCATGAATTGCATAGTGCAGGTAAGTGCTGAGTTAGTGTGCATGATTCATGATTGCATTCTTTTATCGCAATATTCTGTAGGCATTAATACACACACCACTACTCTCTGATTATTTCTTATCGGAGCGACACGAGTGCAACGCCAAGTCATCATTAAAATGTCTCGTTTGTGAGGTTTCTCGATTATATCAGGTTTGTTTTATAAATATTCTTCTTCTCTTCGCTTTTTTCACTTTATTTATCGTGCTTGAATAGGAATTTTATAGTGGCTCTCGCTCACCGTTATCATTGCACCGCCTATTGCATTTGATCTGGAATCATGCAAAGCATTTGGCCGGCTATGAACAGCAAGACGCGCACGAATTTTTCATTGCCACGCTGGACGTGCTGCATCGTCACTGCATTAAAGCAAAAACGGAGTGTGAAAGTGTCAATAAGCAGAATAGTTCAACATCGTCTGGTGTGTGTAGCACAGGAGGCGGTGGTAGTGGTAATCAACATGGCAATAGCAATGCCAACACGAATAGCAACTGCCCGACGCAGTGTAACTGCATAATAGATCAAATCTTCACTGGAATGCTGCAAAGCGATGTGGTGTGTCAAGCGTGCAAGGGCGTTTCAACCACCATCGATCCATTTTGGGATATATCCTTGGATTTGGGTGAGACAACGCATGGTGGCACTACGCCAAAGACGCTTATAGATTGTTTGGAGCGTTATACTCGTGCTGAACACCTCGGTGAATCGGGAAAAATCAAATGTTCCACCTGCAAATCATACCAGGAGTCAACGAAACAATTTAGCCTTCGCACACTGCCTAGTGTGGCCAGCTTCCATTTGAACCGTTTCGAGTATTCCACATTGATTGGCAAAAAAGTATCCACGTTCATTTCATTCCCCGTTGAATTCGATATGACGCCGTTCATGTCGGAGAAAAATAATGCGTATGGCGATTTCCGTTACTCCCTCTATGCGGTGGTCAATCATGTGGGCACCATCGATTCGGGTCACTATATTGCCTATGTGCGACACCATAAAGATACATGGGTGAAGTGTGATGATCATATCATTACTACGGCTACGTTGAAGCAGGTGCTGGACAGCGAAGGGTATGTATGCACGATGTAGATGTCATTGGTTAGAAGAAAATTTAGTTTATTGAAAATTTTTTTTTTTTTTTTGTAATTTAAAGTTACTTTTAATTCGAGTTAAATTTTGTAATGAAAATAGTTGCTAAGTGTAATCGATTAAGAATATTTTATTTTCAACTTTTACTTTTGCAATAGCTTTTCTATTTTCTTTTCCTGTTCTTTATTTCAGCTATTTACTATTTTACCACAAGAACATTTTGGAATATGAATAGACTGGTTAAACGTAATAATAATATTAATTATAAAATACAACAACAAACTACTACTCTTAGTACTACATACGAAAACAACAAGCATACAAATATGAAATCGTACCATAGCAAACTACATTTACAATAACAAGAAAAACAAACAAATAATTAAGCTACTATTAGTAAACGCCGTAAACAAACAGCTGAAGGTGCCCAGGGAAGAAGCAGGGTAGAGCAGCAGCAACAAACAGTAAGCATTTCTAAGCACATGCGATAGTACATACCATAAAGTGGAGAAGTAAAACAAAAGCCCCGTGGGGAGCGGAGCAGTGATAGAAGCAGAGAACGATTTTGTGCAACTTTAGCTGACGGATCATGTGTTCGTGCTAATGCGCGTTGTATACGACGGGTGTGCGAGGCGGTGATAGTGGTGGCGCAAATGAAAACGCCGCCGCTTTTGGCGGCCTATGGCACTCACAATTTTCAGCAGCAGCAGCAGCAACGCCTAGTAATAATAAACGCAGCAGTTAATATACCTTTAATGCTAAATATGATTTAACAAAAAACAAAATCTAGTATATATAATATATATAAATAATTTTTATTTATTCTAAATGAAAATAGCATAAAACTGAAAGAAAAAGAAAAAACAGAAGCGAAAAAGCAAAAAAGTATTCGTTTGCCGCTTTCATAGCGAATTTAATTACTTTCCTTCTTCCGTAACTGTTTGTGTATTGTTTTTTATTACATTTTTAACACCATTAGCTGCATCCAGCCATTTTTCGTAAACCATTATTAATTAACTTCAGCTTATTCTCTATTTTTCGTGTCACTGTTTTTTTTTTGTAGTTTTTTTGTTACCTTTTTTTGTTTTCTTTTACCTTTTTTTTGCTTTGTATTGGCTAATATATTTTCTACTCTTCTTCGGTTATTTTCCCCGACTGTGACCGACCAACCAAGCAGTTAATTGTGCTATCTATACCCTTTATTTCGCGGCTGACGTTTATCGCACAGTTGGCAGCGTTCGCATGGAGTGATGTAGACGCGTCAGAGTGCACCGTTGTTGGTGATCTGCGGCGTTGCGTATGAAACTCAATATAAAAGAGCATTTTCGAAGAATCGAAGAAAGTTTTGTATGAGATTTGCATACAACAAATGTCAAATAAACATATTTGTTGATTATTTATTGCGATACGGAAGCTAAATATTTTAGACAAAAATAAATGCTTACGCACTTTTATTAAAATATAAATCGTGTTAGTACTTTCTATAAGTCGGGCTCCATAGAAAAACTTATCTAATAAACATGTCAAAGCATGACCTAGGATAGCATTTTAATATAAATTGTACAAATTTTTATTTTTTTTTTCCTTAAAAATCCTGACTTCTGAATCGAAAAGCTAAATCAGCTTAAGTTGTTTTGCCAAAAGTTCGCGGCGTTTTACATAGTATATTACTACCAAGTGTAAACAAATTCATATCGCTGCTTAAAAATAGCATCAAACGCTGCCATGCACACATTCGGCAAAAATGTATGTACATATTACAAAAAAAATGTGGAAAAAAACAAAGAGGGTAACTAAATCGAGGGTCAGATAACAGTCAATTGCTGCTACGCATATAAAAAAAACGCTTGATTAGTCATCAACATTTTATGCTTAATTTTTATTTACTTCAACATTTTTTTTTTATTTATCTGCCTATAATTTTTCACGTACTAGGTACATGCATACATTTCTAGTAAATTAACAAATCATACCTAATAGTGCTTATAACATTCACAAATATGTACATTGAAATTTGTGATTTTTTTCCATAATCAACAGGCAAATATGTGAAAAAGATACGAAGTTGTTTATAAAATTATTCAATTAAAAAAAAAAGAAAATAAAAAATATGAACACGCTTGCGCGCTTATATTTCAGCGTTCAAGCCAACGGGCTCGTCCGGGAATTGAACCCGGGACCTCTCGCACCCGAAGCGAGAATCATACCTCTAGACCAACGAGCCATGTGTTCGTTGCGCGCTAATAAGCAATATAAACACAGTGTGTTGGTTGTTGTTTTTTGTGTACTCACCATGCTGGGTGGTAGGTTGGTGTGCTGGCTGTGGTAGCTTTTATGCGACACAGTGCTGCATTTTAGCGCAGCATTAATGAGAATTTTTTAAAAAAAATTTTAATTTCGTGTGTTTTAAAATAAAAAATGTTAAGTAAATTATTAAGTGAAAGAAATTCGATAAAATGTTTAATATTTGAAGAAATGCTTACATTGTGAGCGAGAAATGGTCCAACTTCGCTTCTAACAAATATAAAATATCCTGGGAGCTGAAATCCTGACATCAATGGTAATCGATTTTTCCTTTTCATTTGTGCTTACACTGACAATGCATCATCACAATACCGATACATACAAGAATGATAAAACTCCAGTATGCGCATTCCCGACGTCGATGACGATTCTCAAATGCATGTAAATAAAGCCGAAACATTCAAAAGCATACATTTTCTTGATTTAAAATTTTTCGTAGGAAACGTAGTTCAATTGTTTTGAATTGTAAAAATATATGATTTATAAAAAAATTAATTGAGAAAATGTTAAAACGGTGACATTTGTGAAAGTATTAGTGAATTTCAGTGCATGTAAAGTTTCTGAGGCGCTATTTACTTTTACTTGAGAATTGTCAAAATCGGCAAAATCAAAGCAGCCGTTTGCTGTTTGCGCCACTTTTGTTCCCTACATCGCGCGATGCATGCGCACTTTTTATTAACACATGCATAAATCTTTAATAGTCTGAATCACGCTCTACCTGAACAGACTCGGTAAATTACGCGTCATTTACCCGGTAATTACATCGTGAGCATGGGAAGGGTGTGTACTCTTCTAATGTTTATTATTATTTGTTTATTAAAGTTATTTATTATTTTCGTAATAATTTGTGTTTAATATTTGGATAAACGAGAAATTATTGTTTACAGTAACCTATGTTTACGGTAAATTATTCTGAAAGGCTTTCGTGCAAAAAAAATAAATACAAAAAATACCATATATGCAATTTTCGTTTACTTGTTTTATATTTTAGCTTACATAGCACATACATATCGTCGCCTGTATAAAAAATCGTCGTATGTTACTTTCGGCAGGTTTTGAGAAATCGGATTGAAGTTAGAAAATAATTTTCTCAAAACCGCGAAGATAGATTTTCTTCAAAGTCTCAAAGAATGTTACTAGTATAAGCAATTCTTAAATTATTAATAGTTTTAAGTTTATAAAGCATTTTTTAAGTAAAATTATGCCGTATCCCTGCAAAAATCACGACTACTCCATGCATGCATGTAAAGAGTACTCCCCAAGGTCCAATTAACATTGCGATATCCTAGGGCAGGACTATATACCCATCTCTGCATTACATCAGAGTAGCACAAAACTACTCCAACATATTAACAATGACATTGTTGATATGCTTTTTCGTTTGTACACGCTTTTGTTCTTCATTTCACAGATGCTTTTTCGCAATTAATAAAAACCAAAAACAAAAATAAAGAATTAGATGTTGCCTCTTTCGTATTCCAACCCGAACATGCTGGGAGCTAACAACTAACAGCGAGCATCTCTACACGTTCAGCTACAGCTTTCAAATGCTCACCTTCAATCACATTTCGTTAAAACACGAGCAGTGATCGGGGTAACAATAAAATGGTGCAGAGACACGAGTTGGTCCGCTACAGCATGACAGAGGAGCATTTTTGTAAGTACTCCAATATACCACAAATAGACCACATGGTCCAACGGTTTTTGCAGGGTATTAACAAAATTTTTACTAAATTACTAAAAAATTTGTAGTCAAGATTTCGGAAACTAAAGGAAATATCCAACAACTGATCACACCAATCGAAAGATCTTATTTAAAATATATAACTGCATTTATAACTATAAATCGTCAAAAGCGCTTCCGATTGGGCCCCGTCACACGGTCAGTAATTATCACGATATTTGGATCGCGATCCATATTGCTACATGTTCAATATTTATCGCGTCAGTATTTGCATAATTTTTGTGCTGAACGCTTATTATGACGGTTTTGGGCGTACAATTTACAGATAATGCATTCCACAATTATTTTAAAATTTTCAATGTTAATTAACATTTTTTCAATTTCTTTTGAAAGGTTTTAAACACCGAGAGCGAAGGCAGAGCGCATACAGGCTGACTTCCAAAACGTATCAATACATTGTTTGGAAACTGTTATACTGCGGTATTCAAACTGTTTGTATTAGAGTCCGACCGATTGCAATTTGTATACAGGTACCGATGCTAATGCCGATTAATCGGCTTATGGAGAAAGAATCGGCCGATGCCGATGCCGATTCCATGCAAAATTACAAATAGATGTATTAATTCATAAAATCAATTAATTTTACGGAGTTAACAAAGCCACAGAAAACAAATATTTGAGTTAACTGGCTTGTTATGCAACGTTACATACACATGTATGTATGTACATACATATGTATGTGTAAAAATATATGTACAAATATCACATTTATGTACATTACATAAAAAACTATTGTATATGGTGCTAAGCAAGAAATGTTTAGGAACATACAATTTCATTTCGTTTTGTACTAAAATACACTCTTTTGCACTCAATGCATAAGAATTTATATGCTAGGTATGTATGTACTAGAGTCCAGCGCAATTGTATTTGCCGCATTTCATTCAATAAGTACTCCTTGCATTGTACTCTACTCCCAACACATTGTTACTTTTTTTCCGCATACATACACTACTTGGCGTTGAGAGAGTAAATACTTGACGTACTTGCTATTACTCCACCAAAGTACGTACTCTACTTTCCCTCATCGCGTACGAGAGATATTTGCTGCTGCCAAAAGGGAGTAGCAAATCTACTCTCTGTATACTTGTAGTACGGTAAGTACTTGCGTATTAAATTTCAATTCTGGTTGTTAGCCTACTAGTTGATATCGTTTGCAGCGCTGGTCAGTGAAATT